ATACAATGTTTTAGCTGATCATGTTAAGCTCTGTGGTACACTTTTCAACTTAATATTCTGTTATTTTTTTTTTCAAAATCACCCTACAATCTCCGAGTTGTGTTGCCATTGGCAGCTTCATTTGGCATTGGGCTTGGTCTACTGATTTAGCCAATAGTAATGGTTTAGCTATCAATAAATTGTTTTTTCCTTGACCCAATTTGTAGACGACTTTGTTGAACAGTACTCAATACACATTAGTGCACAGCAAAACATGCAATAGGTGAACTACACGGAAACACGTATGATTCTCTGTGACGCACTCGTCAGACAGAATTTAAATTAAAAGCCMAAGTGACTAGAGTCACTCTAGAGTGACACTAAGAGTCACAGAGAATCATGTGTGTTTCCTTGTAGCGAACCTATCCCATAGAATATACATAGAGAATATTACATGGGCGCGCGAATATTATATTCTAGCGCCGTTTTGCCGCGCAAAAAAACGCTTTAGTTCGACCCTGACTAGAAAATAGATTTAATCCGTTTCATTTTGTATATAAGAATTTTATCTTTTATTATCCTTGTAATATAGTTATAGTTAAGAAGTTTGATTATTATGCTTGTGGTATAATAGTTATAGTTAAGTTCTATACTGACTCGTTTAAAATTCCACATTTTATAACTATTTATTATTTTTAATATCATGCAATAGTCTTTTTCACGGTTCCYTGCGCCATCTTGAAAGGTAGCCGTGCCTTTGCATCGAAGTGAGACGACCGTTGAGCGTGCAATATAGAAACCTTCTTTCGCACCTACAGGCAATTACTCACAGGTATCTAWCATTGCACGCTCAACGGTTGTCTCGCTTCGATGTAAAGGCACGGCTACCTTTCAAGATTGCGCAGGKAACCATGACTATACCTATTCAGCCTTTTCGGCTGACATATGATTTTCTTATTAAAGCTATCTATCCTATCTATCTATTTTTATGTCCGATTCTCTATTAATTTTACTATTTTTCCCTGAAAATGCTGTAGAATAAATATCTTATTGACCTTGCTTTCTCAAGCCATAAGGGAAGTTATGGAACCTCGCTTTTTCCACGCTTTTATGGCATACTTTAGCGGAAAAATTCAGTCCATAACTTCCCGTACGGCCCTCGCGCTCGGTTAATAAGATATTCATATTTCAGCGGGAATTAAAACTATGGCGCGGGTTTTCTTGCGTTTGCTCTATTGCATTTGAACAATTCCAAACAATTTAACAATAGGAAAACAGGGTCTAAATGGGGGGGTCTCAATGTCGGTTGCTATTGCATTTGTCGGTAGTTGATTATTTAAAAAAAGTTGAATGCATCTAAAACGGTGCGCTATATCAACATGATATA